CAGTGCAAGGATTCAGACAACTACTTGGAAGCCGGTTCTTTTTATTTTTCAGGAAGGCGAGAGATAGCAAGAAGTCTGCGTTCCTGGAGCTAGCTCGCTTTGTATGGAAAGCCCCTGATTTTTTATACCTTTTTCTCATTTTGTGTGTGTGTGCTTGTATTTGTATTTCTTAATGTTTTAAATCCTGTCAGGGGTTGTCTTCATTTCCGCCGGAGGGTAAACTCCGGGGGGGGGGTGCAGAAGGCAAACTTTGCAGGGTGGTTTGATTGGATTATCAGTTTCCTAATGTTTTCTTGTGGCAATCTCCTGTCTGTCTCCTTTGCAATATATTTTGTGTCTTTTGTCTGTTTGTTTAGCTGATTTGGCATGTCTTGTGCTTGTAAGGGTTTTCTTTTCTTGTTTCCTTAGTTTTCTTAATTATTTGGGCTTTTGTCTAAGGGGCTTCTTTAATACCTTTTATTTGATTCCTTTTCCTATGCAATTTTGTTTTATGGCTGGCCTGATGTTCCCCTCGGGCTTTTCCTGCTTGGGTATCACCACTGTCCTCATGAAGTTCCCTTTCCACACATGCTTAGATGGACAACCGCAACACTGGTGGAAGGTGGAGGGGATTAAATGAGGGTTTGGGGGTGTTTGTGTGGTGGTGGTTATGTAATTGTGTGGGATGCAGAGCAAACGGGATGCTGGCTTACAGGGAGGGGCCGGATATTGACAGCGAGGCAATTAGCTAACTGGATAAATGGGGTTCTGAGCCAGCAGCCTCTCAGAGCTGACGTTGATCAAATGTTCTCCTTACCTCTCCTTGTCTCTAACTGCGAAGGAATAAAACCTCTTGCCAGCTTATTTGGACTGTTGTTTATTGCCTTGTCAGATGTGCTGGCTACAGAGTAGCTGAGACCTGTACTGTGCCTATCCACATCACTATACCAAAATCTAATTATTAAAGGATAAAACCGTGTTGTTTTACTATATTGACCATGGATTAAAAAACAAGGCAACACCACAGAGCCTGCAATTGACAATTTCTGTTCAGCTGGGGCTAGGCTTTTTACAGCCAGCCTTCTCAATCTGATGCTCTTTTGAGCTGTGGTTCTTGAATTTCGGAACCACGGAAAATCTGTCTATCTATCCTGTGAAGAGAATCTAAGACTACCTTTAAAATGGTCAAAATATAAAAGTAACATTGAGACCAAACATACCTGAAACCAAAAGAAAAATTTATTTAACACACACACACACACGCAGAGAGAGAGATTATAAATCTTGCATATAATAGCAAATTTAATCAACATACGGAATTCGATTTGTTAAAGGATTTCAGAGAAATCATAATACTTACCTATTTTGGAAAATAGGTATTGTTTCTAGTGAATGCTAATCAGCTACTTTAATAGAGGTTTTGAAAAAAAAACCATCAATGCATTTTCATTTAAAAGCTAACACTGTATTTTCAATAAATTTTCATTGGCTTTTTTCAAATGTTTCAATATGATATCTGAGAAGAGGTTCACCGGTGATCTTTCTTCATTCATGGAGGAAGCAAAATAGAGGTTAAGTGGAGTCACTCCCACCTGGCTGAAATCAAGATGGTTTTTTTATTTATTTGTACCCTGCTTTTATTATATTTACAAACAACCCAAAGCAGTGAACATATCTAACAAACCTTCCTCCTCCTATTTTCCTTACAACAACCCTGTGAAATGAGTTGGTTGAAAGAGAACGACTGACCCAAAGTCACCCAGCTTTCATAGCTAAGGCGGGGCTTGAACTCATGGTTTCTAGCCTGGTGTCTTATCCACTAGACCAGGGGTCTCCAACCTTGGCAACTTTTAAGATTTGTGGTATTCAACTCCCAGAATTCTGGGAGTTGAAGTTCACAAATCTTAAAGTTGTCAAGGTTGGAGACCCCTGCATTAGACCAAAGTGAGTATGAATGTTTTAATGCACGCACACTTCCAACACTTGGAGTTCCGGTTTGCAGTGCTTCGGGGCAGGCAGAAATCTGTGATCGTGCGCGGTTTCTGCCTGTGGTCGCTACTGGCGTGCCCCGAGCCACCCGGCTTCGGGGCTAAGCCACCCCGTAGAAGGTGGTGAAGACAGGGGAGATCTGGCAGGATCGAGAGGAATCGCACTCAGCCGGCTAAACTCCCTTTTCCAAAGGCGGTAGAGTGGCGATCAGAAATGGCCGCCTCAAAGAAGCACTCAGCCGGAAAAGAAAGTGCAGGAGGAAGTTAAGAAGTGAAAGTTTTTGGCTGACCGGGACAAAAAGTAACAACTAAGATACCCTGGAATTTAAAATTTGCAAAAGATACATCACTCCCAAAGACTTGCAAGCGGCGAATGAAAGTTAAAAGGGAAAGTTCTTTTTTTTTTTTCACTCAACCTTGGCAACTTTTAAGATTTGTGGTATTCAACTCCCAGAATTCTGGGAGTTGAAGTTCACAAATCTTAAAGTTGCCAAGGTTGGAGACCCCTGCATTAGACCAAAGTGAGTATGAATGTTTTAATGCACACACACTTCCAAAATCATGTTTATCCATAATGTAATATGGCTCTTCCAAGACCCCCAAGTGCTACCATGGATGATGAGAAGAAGCAGCAACAGCAGGCTACCCTACAATGTATGACTGGGGGCCACATCTCCTGCAATGCAATCAGTATGTGGTATGAAGGAGTTTACCAATGAAAACAATGATCTTGCAATGTACAGGCAAGTCTTCAAATTACGACAATGATTAAGCCCAAAATTTCTGTTGCTAAGGAAGACAGTTGTTAATTTTGAATTTTGCCCCATTTTATGACCTTTCTTGCCAGAGTTAAGTGAATAGCTGCAATTAAGTTAATAACACAATTGCTAAATGATTCTCGCTTCCCCATTCTCTTTGCTTGTCAGAAGGTCACCAAAAGTGATCGCATGACCCTGGGATGCTGCAACTGTCATAAATATGTCAGTTACCAAGTGTCTGAATTTCAATCACATGACCATGGGGATTCTGCAACGGTCATGTCACTTTTTTTCCAGTGATGTTGTAACTTTGCGCGGTCACTAAATGAACAGTTGTAAATCGAGGACTACCTGTACCCGCATTTGCTCTTGCATGGATTTTCCCTTCAACAAACCACAGATATACAAAAGGGACGCAGATGAACAAAGGAACTACACTTTTCTGCAAAAGACTACTGACCCCAAGTAAATAGATGGGAGAGGCAGTCCCACCAACAAGCCAATTAGAGTCCAGTAGGCCTGGAACAACAACTTCCTCCATGCCATAAAGAGCTTCAGCATGGAGATCTTTTCAGAAAAAATGCTTTTTCTGTTGGGATGCCTAGGACCAGTTTCAGCTGCCCTCTGGGATGGGTTGAGAATGAGATGGAGGTTATGCTGTGAGGACAAAGACAGACAGAAACTTGTTACCACAAGGTTCCATCGTATGACCAGTACTCTTCAATATCTTCATAAATGACTTAGATGAGGGAACAGAAGGGGAACTCATCAAATTTTCAGAAAACACTAAGCTGGCAGGAATAGCCAACATCGCAGAAGACAAGCTCAGGATCCAGAAAGATTTTGACAGATATGAAGAATGGGCCTTATCCAACAAAATGAAATGCAAGGAAAAGTAAGGTTTTGCACCTTGGCTGGAAAAACCAAAGCTACAAGTACAGATTAGGTGAAATCTGCCTCAAAAACAGTAACTGTGAGAGGCACCTTGGACCATCACTTAAACATGAGCTGGCAGTGTGCGGCTAATACAATCCTTGGTTGCATAAACAAAGGCACAGAATCAAAATCAGGTGAAGTATCAGTACCCCTTTACAAATCCTTAGTAAGGCCACACCTGGAATACTGCATCCATTTTTGGCCACCCCAGATGTTGAGACTTTGAAAAAAGTGCAAAGAGGAGCAACTAAGATGATTAAAGGCCTGCAGACAAAAACATATGAAGAACGGTTGCAGGATTTGGGTTTGGCTAGTCTAGAGAAAAGGTCTAGAGGGGGACATGATAGCCGTATTCCAATATCTAAGGGGCTGCCACAAAGAAAAGGGGGGGGGTCAACTTATTCTCCAAAGCACTTGAAGGCAGGACAAGAAGCAATGGATGGAAACTAATCAAGGACAGAAGCAACCTGGAGAAACTTCCTAACAGTGAGGGCAATTAACCAGTGAAAGAGCTTGCCTTCAGACGTTGTGGGTGCTTCATCACTGGAGGTTTTCAAGAAGAAACTGGACAGTCACTTGTCTGAAACGGTATAGGATCTCCTGCCAGGAGGGGCCATCTCCTGAGCAGGGGGCTGGACTAGATGACCTCCAAGGTCCCTTCCAGCTCTATTCTGATTGACAGGTCCTTAATGGACATTACGTAGGACGTCCTCCAGGGCGGGGCAAGGAGGCTGTGTGGACGAGCCCATGTTAAAAGCTCGACGGCGATAGAGGTTCAAGGACGGGGATCTTTATTGTCCCGATTCGGACTCGCAGCTAACTCGGGGTAACTTCCGAGTAAACCAGCGAAGGAGGAGCCCCCACAGTAACGGCCCGCCTCTGTTTGGTTCTCACCGGTAAAGGCCCCGAGGCGCCCCGCAAGCCAGGTCTTACGGAGACAGTCCGTGTCCTCCAGAATCTCCCCGTACACTTTCATGTTGACACCAACCGCGGCGACGGCCCCAAGTATCACGAGATTTCAGCAAGGACGCTACCTAGATCTTGGTCTCGCGAGAGCATGGAGAGCCAAGGTTTATACGCAGACCAATAGCAATTCGAGGTTCGTAAGGATTGGACGGGATTCGGGGAAAGTAGGCTCGGCCTTGGGGGGCGTGGCTCGTCCCGTCAGAGAATAATTGATTGGTTTGTGAGTGTGGCTTCTCATGATTTCTATTGGTGGGTGCTTGGGCGGTAAAGGGGAATAACGCCGCGCGTGCTTTGTTTCCCTCCTCTTGCCCGCCTACTTGGGGGCGGAGCGTCGTAAAGGACGCTCTTGACCGGCCAGACTGGAATCTCAAATCTGACAGAGCTTCAGTCGAGCGACTGTAATTAGGAGACGTGGATCCAATTTGTCGTTCTCTCTGGACTCGTTAAATGCGGCCTCGCTTCTGATTCGTCAAACCGAATGAAGGGCGTGGCGAGGTTTCTTTGTGTGGGGGTGTGACCTGCCTTCCCATTGGCTACGATGCGCGGGTGGTGGGTGAGGCGTCCCCGGGCGTCGTCGTTGTCGTCCATGATGTCTTCATCTTCGCCGCCGACGCCGGTCCAGATTCGCGAAGCTAACGCTCATTTGGCCGCCCTGCACGGGCGGGTTGCAGAATTGGAGCGGCGGTTGGCGGCTGCGGAGCGCACGGTGCACGGCCAGGCTGAGAGTCTCATCCGGAAGGATGCCGAGATGCGGCAGGCGGTGCTCGGGCTTCGGGAGGGCAAGGACAGGTACTGACCTCGAGGAGGGCTAGAATCTTGGTTAGAGTGACTTTGGCATTAGTGAGCGAATCAACGGTTTTGTTGAAAACTCGTTGGCATTCGTTGGTCCGTTGCACTTTCTTTGACTGCCATTTGCCTTTTTGGGGCGTGGGACTTTATATGAAGTTGGTCCTCTGAATATTACTGAGCTTTTGGGGGGGGGGGTCTCTTCTCGGTATTGCCAAACTCTCATTATTTCTCAGGATTGGGAAATAGTTGGACTAAATGCACCCATGGAAATAGCTATCCCACCTGGAACTTCAGGAACAAATTAACAGGAAAAGAGAGGCCAGTTTGAAGTTGTGCAGTCTGTGGATATGAAGGCACTGTCAGCATCTTTTCCTGTTGAATAGCAATTGTGTAATTGTTCCAGTGGGTGCTTCAGGCGGGCTGAAAAATTCAGCAAGCAGGTAGAAACCCTTTCAAATACTGTACATTATTTCCAGGTTTACAACATGGAGCACTTCCCTACTAGCAAGCCCGTCTAATAACATCTTGTATACAATCATCATATTCCAATGGATACTTTCATTGGTACTAACTTGTGGCTCTGTCTTAGGAAAAAGGACTTAAACATAATTTTACCAGGCCTTTCTACCATCATATTCTATTTCTACCATCATATTTTATTTTTTAAATTTAGATTCTGCTCATCTTACTCTACAGAGTGACTATGGCAGGTGTAACAGTTAAATATAAAAACATAAAAATCATATATAGCCTTTGACTTAATGACAGTTTAGCAATCATTCAAAGTTACAACAGCGGTGAAAAAAGTGACTTGCAAGTGACTCTTCACACTTAGAACTGTTGCAGCCAGCCTCCCTGTGATCACATAAACCGAATTTGGCAACCAGTATGTATTTACGATGATTGTAGAGTCCTGGGGTCACATGATCATCCATTTTTGACCTTCCCAGTTGGTTTCCAACAAGCAAACTCAAAGGGAAGCTGGATTCCCTTAACGATCACGTGATTCCCTTAACGATCGCTGTGATTTGCCTAATGACTACAGCAAAAAAGCGCCCCAAAATTTGAGTGCAATTCACTTAATGGCTGCCTTGCTTAACAACAGAGGTTCTGGTCCCGATTGTGTTCGTAACCTGAGGACTACCTGTGAAGATGCAATATATATATCAATAGAAGGGAGCCAAGTAAAACAAGGATAAAAAAGGTGAAAGGCAGGGTTGAGGGGCTTCAATGCGCTGGCCACCCCCATGGTTGTGAGCCCTTTGCAAGCTAGCCCGGGTCTTCAGGCTCTTTCGAAAAGTGAGGAAGGTGAGGCCCACCTCACCTCTAGGGGAAGGACATTCCAGACAGTGGGGGAAACAGCAGAGAAGGCTCTTTTCCTAGACCCCGCCAGTTGAAATTCTTTAAATCTAGTATTCCGTAGTATACCTTCTCTGCCTGATCAGGTGGAATGGGGCAGTGTGAGGTGGATAAGATAGTTCCTCAGGTAACCTGTTGTTGTTCTTTTCCTCCAAAGGGAAATTGCCATATTGGAGGAAAAGCTGCAGTCTTCTGAACAGCATGCGCAAAAACTGTTAAATGTGATCCAGGAAAAAGACAGCTTGATAACGCAGCTGAGGCACAGGAGCCGCCTGCTCACCAAGATCTGTCGTAGCCGTCCAGTCCTGGATAATCTCTTGGCATACATGGCGGAAGGGGAACAGCTGAGTCCTGTCCTTGGTGCACAGAGTGACACCAACTCACCAGATCACAACCTGTCATTGGAGACAAATTGTATCCCAGACCTTGATTTGGACACCAAAGACTTTTCACTTGGGGATGACGAACAGGATTCAGACAAGACTTTGTTTGGGACAACAGTGTAAATGGACAATGATTGTTGGTTCCCATATCGGAAGCCTCTTTTTTTAAAAAAATCTCTTGAGTAGGGTAATACCACTTCTTTTTTTTTTTTTTTACTCTGAGCTGCTCGTGCTGGAGATGACAAAGTGACTATTTGAAACCAGACACTCTAGTAATAGTTTTGTGTATCAGCAGACTTTTTTGGTTTGTGGCTTAAAAATCATGCCTTTTTTCCCCCTGCATGCCTTAATTGGATGTAGGGTACCTGAATCTCTTGGACAAATTATGACAGTCCCAGCATCTTCCAATATTGGTTATATTTACAGTTGTGGGAGTTGTAGGGCAGCACTCCAGATTGCCTAATCCCACTCTTAAGAGAAGCAGGTATCTAAAGGGAAGCTGCTAATTTAAATTAACATTACTCTAAACAGGGTTGCCACCACTGCTCTCTCTTTCTGTATCTCACAATATTTTTTTGGCTATCTCCAGCCAAAACCAGCAGCAGTCTTTTGGGGAGTAGGACAGGACCAGAAGGGGTTCAAACTACAAGGAAGGAATTCAAATTAGGGTTAGACATCAGGAGGGATTTTCTAATTGTTACAAGTTGTCAGCTAGTGGAACAAATTGTAAAGTACTTGGTAAGTTCTCCTTTGCTAAAGGAGATGTCCTAATGAATCCTGCAGATGACCTCTATGGTTCCTTCTAATTGTGTGATTATATAATTTCAGATTTGCATGTGCCACGTGGGCTAAATGGTTTAAAATATAAAATGCACAAGGGTAGCAAATCATGCCTTTGTTGATAGGCTTGGAAATCCCACAGTTAGAATGATAAAAAGAAGAATGTACCTAGATACCAGTATCTTTTTAAGAGCCATAGTTAAGGCTGGAGTCCAGTCCTGCTAGTACAGGTAGTCCTCAATTTACAACCATTCATTTAACAAGCAGTTGAAGTTAAGACAGCTGTGGAAAGAAAGGGACTGTCGTCTGGCTCTTACACTTAAGACAGTTGCAGTATCTTTGCAGTAATGTGATCAACATTTGGGCATTAAGCAATCAGCATGTATTTATCATGGTTGCAGCATCCCAGGGTCATGTGATCACCATTTACACTCTTCTATGGGGACTTCCAACAACCAAACTCAATGGGGAAAGCTGGATTTGCTTAATGACTATGGCAAAAAAAAAAAAAAGTAAAATGGGATGCCACTCACTTAAAAAATTGCATCACTTTGTAAGAGAGGTTGCACTCCCAATTGTGGTCGTAGATTGAGGACTTCCTACATTCATTTAAACTGATTGGGGTAAAATACTACTTCCTTTCATTGGGCAGCTTCCTGTCCCTTCAGGATTTACCCCTTAACAATCTTGCTGAAGTAAGTTTTTCTAGCGGAGTAATTCTAAGTCTAGTGCATCTTCTGCTTGCATGTGACTTAATCCATCTTTAATCTGGATAGGCAATTTCTTAGGAGGAGCAAAATCACAGAGAATAGGAAACTTCTTTTTTCAGCCTGCTTGGCTATCCTACAGGAATGAGCACAGAATTTCAACTTGAAGTACTACATCTGCTTGCTTGAGCAGGAAAAGGAGTTCAACCATCTTTTATTTGTGGCCTTATTGGTGGTTAGGCCTTCTCCGTGGCGGGTATGAGCAATAGCCCTTAGATTCATATACCGCAAAGTGCTTTACAGCAGCAGTCTCCAACCTTTTCACCTCAGCGGACTGACGGAAGCGGCGGTGTAGGAAAGGAGATGGTTGCGCATGTGCGCCGCTTTGCACATGCACTCGCACACCTCTTCCACGGCCCGGTTCCAAACAGGCTGCGGACCAGAACCAAGCTGCAGATTGGGGGTTGGGGACCTCTGCTTTACAGCACTTTCCGAACGGTTTACCCTGTCAGCATATTGCCCCCAACAATTTGGGTCCTCATTTTCCCAACCTCGGAAGGATGGAAGGCTGAGTCAACCTTGAGCCAGTCAGGATCGGACTCCAGACTGTGGGCAGAGTTAGCCTGCAATATTGCATTCTAACCACTGCACCACTAGGCATTACTGGTACCTGTTCTCGGAGTAGGTCACTTGTCTCTTTAAAAAGCATAAGCAATGACTGTGAGAGCTATTAAGCCAGTGTTTCCTAACCTCAGCAACCTTAAAATGTCTGCACTTCAATTCCCAGAATTCTCCAGCTAGCTTGCCAGTTTCTTCCCAAGTCTATGAATCAGTCAGGAAAGTTCGGAGCCTATGATTTTATCTTCTCATGGGGGGCGGAGAAAAAGACTGCTTTTAATTTTTAACACTAGTAATTTTGTGTCAGAAATGTTACCCTAAGCTTGCTAAAAATGCTGAGAACTTCTGTTGAGTTAACTCAGATGATTTTCTGGTGAAAACCTGGAAGTTGCTTCATCTTTTGGATTTTTTCCTTGTCTGCCTTCTAGGCCAAGCACATTATTACTGTTCAGACTGTAGGGAACTTGGCAGCCAATGGGTTTTTAATAGTTTGTTCCCCTCAGAATTGAACAAGCTTGCAGGGCTGCTGTAAAAGCTAAATAGGAATAATTATTACTGGCCTGAGGTGGGAAATTAAGGAGATTGTATTTTGTTTTGATTCTATCCTAACAGGAAGTGGACAGTGATGCATAGAAGCTGTTTTTATATGATAGGCCTATCCACTTTTGTTAAAGAGTACACTTTGGAAATAGTCTGCCCTTGTCATATGTGGCTCTTGAATTGGGGGTTTTAGGATTACTTGGATGTTCAGGCATAGAAACTCATGCCAACTCGAGTCATTGAAGAACATGGCTGTATTAGGTTTGAATACCATAGTAAGTCTGAAGCCTGCATTAGTCAGCTACAGAAGGCAGGGGTAAAAAGCTGGCTGTGTTTTATAATTCAATGTCCTATGTGAATCCAGCCAAACCTGGGCTACTTATTCCTCTTTTAACTCATGTTCAGTAAAGTGCTGTGCAATTGCCATGCAACATGTTACGTTACTGAATCCCAGTCAACAATGACCACCTGTACAGTACAGTAGTCCATTTACACATTTCTAAACCTTCCAAATGTGCTGATCCTTCCCTCATGGTCCAGGAGATGTTGTCTGTCCTATAGAGGCAGTAGCAATCAGTGAACCTTTTAATACACTAGCTCCTTTTCGGTTGGAGATCATTTAAAACAACAATTGCAGCATTTTAAAGGCAATGCTTCTCTACCTTGGCAACTTGAAGATATGTGTATTTCAACTCCCAACAGGTTGGGGAATTCTGGGAGTTGAAGTCCACACATCTGCAAATTGCCAAGATTGAAAAACACTGTATTAAGGGCTCTTAACAGATAACAGATAATCAGAGTTGAAAGGGACCTTGTAGGTCATCTAGTCCAACCCTCCGCCTAAGCGGGAGACCCTACACCATTTCTGACAAATGGCAGTCCCATCTCTTCTTGAAAGTCTCAAGTGATGGCGCTCCCACAACTCCTGAGGGCAAGATGTTCTATTGGTTGATTGTTCTCACTGTCAGGTTGAATCTCTCCTTGTTCAGTTTCCATCCATTATTCCTTGTCTGGTCTACAGAAGCTTTGGAAAATAGCTTGACCCCTTCCTCCCTGTGGCAGCCCCTCAAATATTGGAAGACTGCTATCATGTCTCCCCTGGTCCTTTTCTTTACTAGACTAGCCAGGCCCAGTTCCTGTAACCGTTCTTGAGCTACAGAGGAAATAAAAGGGAAGCATAATCCAGTGGTTCAGGCAATGTTGTGTGTGTACTTCAGAGGAAAGTAGAAATGTCTTGAGGGATCCATTTTGGTAGAGTTCACAAAATTCCATCAACCTAAACAGCCATGAAACTGCCTTGGTGCCCTCTTAATCCCGTTTTAGCCATGTAGATTTCAAAATGGCTGAAATGGTGATAGCAACAACGTAATTTCTCAAGATTCTGCTTTTTCTTGTATCCAGTCTCTGCTCATATGGGTTGAGCTAACTCTTGTAATCCTTTTGGGGGAGTTGCAGATTTTCTCCTTTTTGTTCTATAATTTATATTTATATATTTCCACAGAATAATTGATTTCTTGAATGAGTGATTACCGTCTTAACCATTCTTACGATCAGGACTAAATTCTGAATACATATTTAGAGGATTGGTTTGTTTTATTTAATGCCTGTTACGTTTATTTTGAGTCATAAATGTACTGACAACTGAAGCACCAGCTAAGTGCCTATGGGGATTTTGTTACACTAGGTCCTCAGTCTAATTTTTCTTGTTGGAAGCAAAATAATATTAAAAATATTTTGGTATACTTGATCTGTATTGTATTCTGGTGTTTTTCTCATTGTTTCTCATTGTTTTAGTTGAGCTATAACTAAGATGATTCCTAGCAGGAATACTAGAGCTTTTTCAAAACTGCCTGCTTTTGTGACCATTCTTATATTGTTCTCTGATCAGTTGTGGTGTAAATCTCTCCCAAGAAATTTCTCAAAATGCTGAGAGCTCAAGAGTCACAAACTCCGACTGATTTAATGAAGAGCTAGATGTAGCTAAACATAAATATATGTACAGATAGTCCTCGACTTACAATCACAACTGAGCCCCAAAATTTTGTTGTTAAGTGAGACACTTGTTAAGTGAGTTTTGCCCCATTTTATGACCTTTCTTGCCACAGTTGTTGTGAATCACTGCTGTTGATAAGTTAGCAACCTGGTTGTTAAGTGAATCTGGATTCCCCATTGACTTTGCTTGTGAAAAGATCACAAAAGGTGATTATATGAACTTGGGACACAGCAACGGTCATAAGTATGAACCAATTGCCAAGCATCTGAATTTTGATCACGACCATGGGGATGCTACAAAGGTTGTAACTTTGAAAATGGTCATAAGTCCCTTTTTTTCAGTGCCATTGTAACTTTGAACAGTCACTAAATGAACTGTTGTAAGTTGAGGACTATCTGTATAGTTTTTAACAGTTGTTAGCTGCCCAGAATCATGAATTTGAGATGGGCCATACAAATTGAAAACAAAAACTAAAGAGCCATGGGGAACAACAGAGAAGGAATTGAACTAAGAGCAGGAGATTCATTTCAGATACACATATAGAGCATCTGCTAGTATTAAAGTATTCGACACAGGATGCTCCTAGAGCATGTTTTTGAGTCGTGGACTGGAGGCACTATTCTATGGTGCTTCTAATATTAGATGTAGGGAAAATCTTAACAGGTAAAACAGAGTGGCTCTTTATGAACTGTGGGGGGAGGGGCTCATAGGTCATGGCTGTTATTGGAAGCTGCATTGACTTGCTTGACTAATTGGCTGGGTTTCAACCTTACACTTACACATTCAAGGAATGCCCTTCATTGGGTTTCGCCCGGGGCTTGGGGTCTGGAGCCTCCGCTAGTACAGAATGCAATGATCAAATTGCTTGGCTATGTACCGTACATGATAAATCCCTGCTGGAGCAACTAGTTTGGTTGCCAATTCCCTACCAAATCAGGTTCACGATATTACTTATGACACATTATACTCTAACTGACTTACCCATTACCTTATCCGAAAAGTTTGTTCTTGCCTTCCTCTTTGGGATTAATCTCTTTTATTTATCCAGTATTTTGCTCATCTTGGAGCAAAACATTTGGGGAAAAAAACCCACCAAACGTGTGTGACTCTTTCCCTTTCCTTTCTCTGCTATAAATTGTAAATGTATTAAATATACAGGTCACATTATCTTTGCCTTAACTTATAACCATTAACCTGAATTGTTCATTTATACCTTATGCTGTTGTAAGGAGTTCTTCTAAATACTTCTTCATTTGGACTCACAAAATGGCATTATCTGCTTTTCTCTAATGGTTGTATTTTATCCTCTACTTTTGACACCGCTTGCCATCTCTTAGGCCTCTATGCTTTCAGATAGTTCTCAACTTACAACTGTGATTGAGCCTGGAATTATGGTCGAAAAGTCATGCTGATAGTTAAGCAGATCATCACTGGAGCTGCTGGGACATCCATGTAGGTAGATATTGCTTGAATCTGATGATATGCTATATAAGTCAAAATAGGTACAGGCAATTAGAAATAACAAAGGCCGCTTTCTCGAACTTGCTAATTCCTAAATGTGTTGGCATCAGAACTCACAGAATTCCCATTTTAAAGAATTTTCAGGAGTTCTTGTTGCAAAACACCAGGGTGGGAAAAGTTGCCCTACAAAACAGGATATGTTGGATTGTCAAAGCACAGCAACAAAAAAACAGTCCTCTCTCAGTACGTGGTAAAATTCTGGGCACAAAAGTTACTGACAATTGCTAATTGACAGCAGGCAACAGTCCTCACAATCGGACAACAAAGAAAGATCTTGAGATGGTTCCAACCAAATCTTTCCCTCTGATACAGAGCTGTATTACCTCTCTCTCTCTCTCTCTCTCTTTAAGCAGCTCCAGAGTAACATGAGCCATGCAGGCTTCTGGCCCCTCCTGCCACCTTCCTATTTGGCCTGTGTCACTTCCTCTGAGAGCTTTCCAGCACACCAGAGCTTTCCCTTGGCGAGGCCCTCCTGGCAACAGAGCAGGCGATTGCTATAGAGACAGGGAACAGCTCAACGCAAGCCAACACAACAGTCAAACTAAGTTCCCTGGCTGGCGAGAAAAAGCAAGCAAAGAAGCAACAATTGCAGGTAGGATGGGGGAAAAAAATCCATCAGTCTGGTTTGAGGGGCAGAGGGTGGATTATACAGAAGAGGGAACGAATGGTAAGGGTTTTTCCCCCTCCAACGTCTGTTTCCTTGGAATGGACAGAATTGAAATGAACAAAAGTTTTGTGGCCTCTTATATTTAGTCGCCAAGCTGTCTCAAGATTATTATTTTTCATCTTAATTAACTAAAAGGACCTACTCACTTGGAAACCAAAGTGAGTTTGG